AGCCCCTGTCTCTAAATGTACCTGCTGCCACACTATTCTTCCTTCAGTGTGGAATTGAGACAGACTGACTCTCTGAATTCATTTCTCAGTTCTTATTTGTAAGCAATTGGAGCCTGGCGTGAGTTAGTTGGGGAGAAGGTGGAGTTAATCCAAAGATACAGGATACTCTTTCTGCAAGAAAGATGCCAAGAAAAACAATTTTTAAAAAAGATATAGGATTCTCAGAAAAGTCCAAAGGTAGAAACTGCAGTTCATCCAGACCTTCTAGGACCTGGGACAAGAGGAAAATTTTGGATATAAGATGACCCTCCAGTCTCCCTCCCTCCTGCCCATCCTTCCTTCCTCCCTCTCTCTCTTCCTTTTTTCCTCCCTCCTTCTTTCTTTCCCTTCCTTTCTTCCTTCCTCCCTCCCTTCCTTCCATCTCTACTTCTCTCCTTCCCTTCTCTCTCCCTCTTTCTCTGTCTGAAGGGCTAAGGGCACACAGCTTCCTTTACTAAGGGACAGACAATGATTGACATCTCTTGCACAGGGGACCCAATGAAGCCACACACTCCAAGGACAGGCCTGAGGGGCCCCAGGCAGCTCATTCCCCTGAGACTACAGGAGTGGGGATAATTGTGAGGAACCTCTTGAGCCCCACTCTTTGTTCTAATGGAGTAGATGTCTCTGCCATTCATTTTTCATGTTGGTTTTTGGACCGTGTAGCTGGTTGGCTTCTCCTAGCGGCAGTCCTAGCTGCAATCTTTATTTGCTGCCTCTTGCATGGAGTAAGAACCTAAAGACAATGCTCAGAGCATTCCTGGAAGGGAAGCTGGTGTTCAGAGCTCTGTGCAGCCTGGGCTCTGCCTTTGGGCCATGTCCAGGGGAGAAGAAGGCCTGGGTCTTTGCGCATTATGTTAGGGCTGAAAGAGAGATGGCTTGGTGGGTGGGAAGTTCAGATTTGGGGAGCAGGAGACAGGGGTTTCAAGTTAGCTCCCTGACTAATGTACTGAGTAGCAGATTGGTTTCCTGGGCCTCAGTTTCCCTACCTGTAAATAGGTCACTAAAGACTTCTTTCTTCTAAAGCTTAAGGAATCAATTGCCACACCCAAGTCCAGATTGTAGGACCCAATTCCTAAGCAAAGCTGCAGGATCTGAGAACTGTTTTCAGTTGTTTTCTTGTGTATGTTTTGTTTTGTTTCAAGACAGGGTCTTACTCTGGCACCCAGGTTGAAGTGCTGTGGCATGATCACAGCTCACTGCAACCTCGACTTTTTTTTTAATTATACTTTAAGTTCCGGGTACATGCATAGAACGTGCAGGTTTGTTACATAGGTATACACGTGTCTTGGTGGTTTGCTACATCCATCCTCCCCCCACCCACCTACATTAGGTATTTCTCCTAACGTTATCCCTCTCCAATCCCCCCACCCCCGTGCCCCCTGCTATCCCTCCCCTAGTCCCCTAGCCCCCGACAGGCCCCAGTGTGTGATGTTCCCCTCCCTGTGTCCATGTGTTCTCATTGTTCAACACTCATGTAACCTCAACATTTTGGGCTCAAGTGATCCTCCCACCTCAGCCTCCTGAGGAGCTGGGATTACAGGCATACACTACCATGCCCAGCTACTTTTAGTATTTGTAGATATGAGATTTCATTATGTTGTCCGGCTGGTCTCGAACTCCCGAAACCAAGAGATCACCCCACCTTGGCCTCTCAAAGTGGTGGGATTACAGGCGTGAGCCACTGTGCCTGGCCCTGTTTCAGTTTTTGTTGCCTTGAAATTCTGTCCAAACTAATTATGGGCTAAATATTTACCAGCTATTTCTGAATTCTACAGAAGCCAGTCTGGGTACATTAGAATGACAAATACGCCTTTGCCTCAAGGTGGGAACTTTGGGTTTGAATTATGTCTGCAGAAGTAGAGGCAAAGAAAGTAAAACCACCGTTTCCCTCCTGTGTCAAGAATGAAAACAGCTACCACAGCTTGCGACACTCGAGGCCCAGGATCCTGGAATTGGAGGGCCTTGTGCCTGCAGGACACTATTCAGAGTCTAACAGCTCCGATGGCTTCACTTTAGCCAAGTCCAAGCCAGAAGATGGGGACTTGAGGTATCAGCTAAGGACCCAGTGTTCACATCTCTCAAATATTCCTGCTGGTGCCAGCCATCCTCCCTTCTCTGTGGCTGTTGGAGGGGGACCAGTGCCAGGGGTCACAGTCAGTCCCTGGATTTGCCCTCCGTGTCACAGCAGAGCTTCTAACCTGGAAGGCTATTTGTTTGTAACCTGGAAGGCTATTTGTTTGTCATTATGTAACTGATCTGTGCTTTGGAACCTGCCAAAGCTCAGGGTTTTTCCATTAACTGAAAGGGATCAGATGTTGTCAGAGGACCTGGGCTGGAGATGTCGGGAAGTGGATTTTGTAAAACGATGTGGTCCTGGTAATCCTGAGTGGCTGATGGGCTGCTGGGAAGAGTGGAGGAGATCAGGACAGTGGACCATCTGGGAAAGCATGCTCACAACTCTGGTGGCCACTGTGTGGAAAGTGGACAGTGTCCCCAACTGTGAACCAGTGGTTTGTCCAGCAAACACAGGTGCATGTTTGAAAGAAGTGGGGTGCATGCAGCCATTTATTAACCAAGCAAATGCCTTGGTCAAGGCCAGCTGCTGCCAACCCACAGCACAGCTGCCCTGCCCTGGCTTGTGCCTGTGCCACTTTGTTCATGTCTTCTGAGTAGTGACCAGCAGAATTGACTGGAATGCTTGACAAAATCATAGGCTCTTGGCCTCATTCCAGACCCGGTGAGTGAAAAACCTCAGAAATCTGTCATCTTCATGAGGTCCTCAGACATTCCAGATATTTGGCCAGTTTTGAAACCACTGCCCCAAGAAACACAGACACCACAGTGGCTTTCTGCCTACCACTCACCATACAGGGCAGCTGGAGCCTGGAAGCCAGCGTTTCCTTATAGGCCCCTCATCAGGTGAAGGGGGTGCTGCTTAACCGTATAGTATCAGACCCCAAATAATCTCCCTCAATGGACCAGCACCCCACTAGTGAAAACCAACTGCAGCCCCAAACCTTCCCTACTATCTCTAGGTCTCACTGCTTCCTGTGACTTTAGGGACGGCGTCTGGGGTGGGGGAAGCTCTGAGGAGCATCCGAGCATGTGAGGCACTGGATGTGTGAGACTCTGAGTGATGAATTGTGTGCACATGGGCTTGGGGCTGTTTGTGTGTATTGTGGTGTGTGGGTGAGTAACCTGTAACTCAGGACACTTTGGGTACTCTGCCTGGGACCTATTAGGCTACCAGCAGAGGATCCAGTGCACAGAGGGATGGTGGGGCTCTCCTAGGCCCACTGCTTGAGGTTCCCGGCATCCTGCCTTTGGGGCTCAGCCCCTACCCCCCCAAGCCTATCTCCAGGTCTACCTCTGCATAGTCCCCACTAAAAAGCATTGGCTCTGGCTGACCCCAGAGGCTCTGAGTGAGGAGTTGGGGTGCTTCATCATGAACAAAAGGTCCTTCATAAAGGATCCTAAGCTGTGTTCTAGGACACCAGGGGCCCCACAGATGTTGAGCCCTAATACAATACGCTTGCTCTGC